AATTTTCACTTAGTTAAACTGTGGTTAAATCTCAGTCGGCTTTTACTTGGTTCGGGCATTTGTTCATAGTTTGGCCTTTAGATCATCTAGCAAAACTATTTAAAGTAAAATATTGCGAATAAAGTTCCTTAGTATAAATAATAGTAATGGGAAATAATAGAAATCATTATATTACATATATCTTATAAAAACCGGATAACCTATATCTTCTTTAATGTGCGCCTGCTTTTTTATTTAGGTATTCATTTCATTAAGGTTCTACAATATAAAAGAAATGGGCATGCTTACCATTAAACTGCAATTAGACCAACTCAATTTGAACATTTTGCCCTGGGGCAGGCTGCTGTTGAAAGATTACGTTAATTTCATTATGCAAGCCGAAGGAAATGTTGAAAAGAAAATGCTTCACATGCATTTTAATTAAACTATTTTCGACTTTTGCAACGTGCAATTTAAAACACTTTGCCAACTTGCCAAAGCAGCGAGTGGCGCAGCATGTGCGGGTGCGACTGCAAGTGGAAGGTGTTGGCTGCAGCTGTCAATTTAGTGGCGCCTCGGGATAGCTGCCTTTTTATGCCCCAGCCTTAGCCATAGCCATGGCCATAGCCTAATGCATGCCACGTTTGGGTGTGAGGGCGTCTTGAGCTCAGTTCGGCTGCCAGTTTCAGGCTGTCGCATGTTGTTACAAAGTTGCGTAATTGATTAAGCAGTTGGCAAGCGTGCCACAAGACGCTGTGGCAGCGACAAACTTCGTCATACGACTGCACGTGCCGCACGTTGACAGCCGTTTTTGGAGTCACGCAGAAAGAGGCAAGTGCCATGTGGCAGCAACGTGTTGGGTAACATACCAAATCGAACTGCACGCGTTAGACATATATCAGTAGATCGCAGAAGTCAATACGAACATATAATATTGAATATTATATATTTACTTATCTTTAAATAAAAGTAACTTTGAATTCCTCCAACATAAGATACATACACATGCAAGCACATTATATATATGCATGCACATACTTACACACTTGCATACATACATACATGCATACATGCGTACATGCATACATGCATACATGCGTACATGCATACATGCATACATACATACATGCGTACATGCGTACATGCATACATGCATACATGCATACATACATACATACGTACATACATACATACAAACATACATACATACATACATACATACATACATACATACATACATACATACATACATACCTACAAACTTAAATATGCACCAAAATATCTTCACACTTTGTTAATAATCACAAACGAACATAAACACACGCAAAAACACTTTTAGTTAATGCATGAAAATCAATTGGGTTTACTTGAACTTATGAGAATCGCATAGAAGAACACTAGTTTTAATTTTTTTTTTTTAATTTGCAACTTAGCGGGAAGTCAAGTTGGTCAACGTATACTATTAAAGATCACACATGATACATGCATACAAACATACACACTTACATGCTAACATACTTCCATGCATATTCAAATATTCATAGCGCTTACGATTTGGGCTGTGCATTGATCACCAATCAGTCAGTCGGTCAGACATTCAGGACAAGCAGTTTCGGCAGTTAATTGTCAGTTACTTTTTTAGATTTTTACAGGGTATTCTGGCATAAATTGTTTTGCTAGCCTAAAATGCCAACCACAAAATAATTTGAACATATTTTGGTGGCACACGCGCTAAGTGGCGAGTAAAACCGCAGTGGCAAAAACGACGTAGCGACTGCCAGTCAATAAAATGGCTTTAATTAATCGGAAGCGCTGCGTCAGCTGTTGCCACAAAAACAAGGCAACAAGGCAACAAAATGGGTAGCAGACGTTGAGCATTTGAATGCAGCGACGAATTGTGCGCATAAATTATGCAGCCAACCATTTGGGGCAAGCATTTATAGCCACGTTTTTTGGCCACGACGGAACGGGCTGGCAGGCACCGAACGGCCGACTGGTCAGCAACAATATGTTGTAAACGTTTAATTTGAGCGCGTCTCTAATCGCTGTCCTGGCAACGTGCAACGTGTGGCAGCCACCCAGCAGCACCCGCACACCAGCCCCTCTCCAGGGCAACGAGCCCGACCAGGTCGCTTGTAATTGCGTTCATTGAATTGTTAACTGGATTCGTTGTCTACGGCGAGCCGCTGGCCGCAACCGCAACTTGCAGCGGCGGCAGCAGCAGCAGCGGAAAACGGCTAAAAGCCGTTGTTATCCTTGTGGTTGTTGTGGCTACCCTTCCTGTACGTGTGTACGTGTGTTTGTGTGTGTGTGTGTTCCCTTGAGTTGATTTGGCTGTGCAGCGAGCCACGACGCATTGGGATTTGGTTGTAGCCGCAGCGCAGCAGCAAAATCCCGGTCAATGCACATCAAACTCTTGGCTCGCTCTGCATTTGGCATTTATTGGTATTGTTCCAATTAAAGTTCGACCAGCCCCATAAAATATGCAAACACGTAAAAGTTCCCAGTTCGATTTGGCTGCCACAGGACATTAATGCTTAACGGTCAATGGTTTTGACTGCAGCATCCCGAACATTCCAGTAGACAGTGCCAATAAAAGGTAATAAAACTCGAAGAACAGTATTCCCAGAGCTGCTGCAGTGGCTCGACTGCAATTGTCAAAAGCTGCAATGAAATTAAAGATTCTACTTGGGCGCATAACCGGAGCATGGGCGGAATTTTGAGCAAGCTTGCAAATCGGCTTAGTAGCTAACCGATTTGAGCCTGGATAGCCAACTTATTTTATATAAGAACTTAGCCTTAAACCAGGCAATATATAGCTGAACCTCACTATATAGAATTATTTATACAATTCTCCAAAACCTAGTTTTTGTTGGCTTAGTTTTATTTGGTTTCTAACAATATAATAAAAATTTAAATCTGATTCAATGAAATAATGCTTTGATTGAAAAGGTAGAAGAGTATAACACCATATATTGGTTTTATCTAACCATATTTGCTAGAAGCCAATTTGGTCCAGGGATCTAATATAGCTCGCAAATTCTATTTAAAAATATGAATGGCATACAATATTTTCAGTAGAACGAGCAATAAAACATAAGAAACTGAGTTAAACGCCTGAATGAGTATGATTAAATTTATATGAACATACTAGAATCTTTAGATATCCAATTAAATATCAGATAGTTTGTAGATAAGTTTAAGGTCTTACCTAGATTAGCTCAGCCACAGCTTATGTCCAAACTCTTTGCCAATTACGTGTACTTGTTAAAAATCCGTGGAGAGGCCTTCGCTTGACGAATCTATCTATTTTATATTCATGCTTCACATAGCCCTCTGAACCATCTCAGTTATTCACATACTTAGTTATTCTCTTAAAAAAAGCTCCACACATGACTTTTATTTCATGTCATAACCGCGATTAAGTGATCCAAAGAGAAACCCTCATTTGGCTTTTAGGCTGATGGCAACTCGCAACATGCTGAGTGTTTTTTGCACTCAATAAATATTGTCTGACCGCACACTATCTATCGCTCATCGAGGTCTCGAATGTCAGATGGGGCCGGCAGTCAGACATCCTTGTCGAGGCATCACGCACAGCACAGTCTCGGGCTCATGGGCGCCCCCCGAGGCGCAGTTGAGCGATTTCCCAACGGTGGCACCAGCTCCAGCTTCAGCTTTAGATCGTGGCCAAAAATGCAAGAGCCCGCAACAAAGTACAAAAAGCATGGCACAAAGTCCAATTTGTTTGTAATGGCATTTACTTTGTTTACAAAATAAATTTTGTATGCACAGCGAGTAGTTTGTAGTCCCTCAAAACTTGCTCGCACTCCAACTCTATCGCTAGCCTCATCTCTGGCTGGCTCTGAGCACGACTCCCAGTCTGACTCCAGCCCATGCAGGCGCTGTAAGGCGACTACAAGCTCAAAAATAAGAGAACAAAAAGAACAAAAATAAAATAAATAGATGGATGCATATAGTACAAATTCTAAAATCGCTGTACCATAAAATTTGCCCATCGGGCGCTTGGGTTTTTGTTATGCCACTCTAGGCAAGGACGATTCTCTTGCCTTTTCGCTGTTTAATTTCGCAATTGTCCTTTTCGATAGAGCACAGACTGAGAACATAAAAACAAAAAAAAAAAAAAACGGAGAGAGATGCTCGTAGAGAAATGGAGTTGGAGAGGGAGTTATATATTCCGGTCATGGCTGTTGCGGCTTGTGATTTATGTTTGTTTATGTTGTTCAACATTTGTTTTATTTACCGCACATACTAAAAATAATAATAAGCAAAAACCTTGCCAAACTCAAACAAATAAGCAGCTTAGAGACAACAACTCGCAGCACTAAATTTGTAAAATAAAATTCTTCTTCTCTTTAGTTTTTCTTCGACTATGTCATGTCATATAATACCTAAAAGTACAATTTAGGTTTCTATACGAATTGTTTCATATATAACTTAATAGTTATGATTAGTTCTCAATTTACTTCCAAACTATAATATTTAGTAATTAAGTGTTCGTCTCTTCTATAAAGCGTAAGGCCTTGCAGTTAAGATTTATAATTGCTCACAGCTAGGGAAAAAATGTTGACAAGAAACATCATAACCTTCTATTGCTCAAAATTCTCTAGCTCATGATTTGGCTAGCAATGCATCAGTTCTAGAAACCAGTTTGGGTTTAGTTTAAAGTCCATAGAACTCAAATTATGTGTATAATTGTGCAAATTTGTTTGTTAAACCGGTTCTTATGTTATGTTTCACTATAATCGCGTCATTTAAGAATTTTTTACAAACCACTCGAACCTCGGACAGTCGCCGACTAGTCGCAGCTAAGCTAATAAAACATTATTGGCCATTATAGTTTTTAAGCACAATAGCATATTGTTGAGTATGGTCAGTTCTTAAGAATAATTGAAAGCAAGATGTGTTTCGCGCTCTGAGTTAATATATATATGTGATCGAAAATATGTGTGAAAATATTTGATAGAAAATTTTGTGAAAATATTCCAAGCTAATACAAAGTTTTGATTGAAACTATGTGATTCAAAAGTAAATATATTACTTTAAGTGTCATTTGATTTGATTACATTTGAAATAAATTAAATATGATTATACTTATGATGGTATGAAATAAACCCAAGTTAATGTTATGCATCGGGTGGGCAGCCATTCTGAGGAACGATTTTCAGTTTATCAATATGTATACCTAATCGTTTGGCGATTTGTTGAACCTCGAATACAACGGTCTGCGATGGTGATCGTTGGCGTGTCAGTATGGCAGCATATTCTGAAAACGAAGGAATTCAGGACGCAACCGTCTCAGGCAACTTGGTGAAATGACTTACGAAAGTTAATAACGTAATTGGAATCAATGCACAAGAACTGTATAGCAAAGTTATCATAGTCAGTGACCAGCACATATATGTCCAGGCCACCAACAAAGGCTAATAAAGGAAGATTATATTATCTTCTACTGAATACATAGATAAAGATGTCTTAGTTTCTACATACCAGGCGATGATGTTTTCAATGTGAATTTACCAGCCTTTGAATCCACGGAATCAATATCCGTTTTTTTTACTATCAAAGTCTCCTTTCTATAAGTTTCTTCATTTAAGACACTTAGCTTGTGATTGTGTGTATTAAACCAACTTACAAGCTGTGTAGCTCCGTCATTGTTTCGTGAAATTTACCATTGGGCAACTTATCAATTTTGATCGTTCGACATTTGTTCATTTTTTTATAAAGGAATGGATACATTGAGTACGTGTACCATTTGCCCACGTAGTAGTCCATATAGAATTCACCAACGGCTGTCATGTTTGATGGACATGCACCATCAAATACCTCCAATCCCATAGCGCTACTTCCGAACAAAAGCATCAATATGCCAAAGCTGCTCCGAATTTTAACTATTAGTAAATTGTAATATGATATTATCTTAAATATGATTACATACACGCCGATTCGTGGGTTGAACATGTTTCGAAGTCTGAACTGCGAAAAGATTGACAAAAACAAGAGCCATATGCAGTTTCTACAAAATTGCATTGGAAATGTTCTTAGCCTGCAATATTGATTCGTTAGAGAGAATGCATTAAACTTATTATAAATCTTCACATTAATACATGTATATATATATATATATATATATATATATATATGTGTGTATATATAGGTATGTATATATATTATATCTATATATATATGTATATATCTAACAAATAAGCAGGTGTTTAGTCATGAGACATTCCAGAAAATACTTGAAATTCGGCGAAACGTGTTCAACAACAATTCTGATTAATAGATAATAATAACAGATTAGGAAGCCATATATCAAGCTGTTATCTAATCATTGCTAAAATATTGATAACAGCTATGGTCAACATGTTTTGATTTCAGTAATCAAATATCTTATAGTTTTTGATAATTGAGTAAAGTTCAAAGACTTCTTTTAAATGGACAGTCTGCAGCAGTTTTTTAGAAACTTATTAGATCAACATTAATAAAAAATATATTATAAAACTTGATTTACTTGGGTTATTAAACATTAAACATTAAATTAAAAATAAAATATTTTCTCGATGCTATATGTTATTTCAAAGATATTTGATGAATAACCAAGTAAGAAACATGTTAATCATGACTTCATTAAAAGTGTCAATTTATTCTAACAAATCTGCAAGACCGTGACCAATCAGACTATTATATTGTATTTGAATATAGTTGAATGGATTATTCGCAGTTATTCAAGTGTGGCTAATTTCAAGATATTTAAAAATTTATGTTCATACCCCAATGAATAATCTAGTCAGAAGTATGTTCTATTTACCTAGTTTAAACTATGTGTTTCAAAAGTAAATATATTACTTCAATTGACATTTAATTTGATTCAATGATATTTAATATGATTTTTTGATTATACTTTCAATGGTATAAAATAAACCCCAGTTAATGTATATAGAATCTGTTATGTATCGGGTGGGCAGCCATTTTGAGAAACGACTTTCAGTTTATCAATTCGAATGCCAGCTTGTTGGGCCAGTTGTTGAGCCAGGAATACTACGGTCTGCGATGGTGACCGTTGGCGTGTCAGTATGGCAGCATATTCTGAAAACGAAGGGGTTCAGGACGCAGTCGTTTTAGGCAACTTGATGAAATGACTTACGCAAGTTAAAAATGCTTTTGGCGTCAATGCACAAGAACTGAATAGCAAATTTATCATAGTCAGTGACCAGCACATACATCTCCTCGCCGCCAACAAAGGCTAATAAAGGACGATTATATCATCTTCTACTGAATATATAGTTAAAGATGTCAAAGTTTCTACATACCAGGGGCTGATGTTTTCAATCTGATTTTGCCAGCCTTTGATTCCACGGAATCAATATCCGCTTTTTTGATGACCAAAGTCTCCTTTCTATAATTCGCTTCATTTAAGTCTTAACAAGTGTTTGTTTGTATTAAACGAACTTACATGCTGTGTAGCTCCGTCATTTTTGCGCTAAATTTACCATTGGGCAACTTATCAAATTGGATCGATCGACATTTGGTGACTTTCTTAAAAAGGGATGGATACATTGAGTGCGTGTACCATTTGCCCAGGTATCTTTGCATATCTAAATCACCAACGGCTGTCATGTTTGATGGACATGCACCATCAAATACCTCCAATGCCATCGCGCGGATGCCGAACAAGAGCATCAATATGCCAAAGCTGCTCGTAATTGGAACTATTATTATAGTTGTAATATAATAGTATCTTAAATATTATTACATACACTCCTATTCGTGGGTTGAACATATTTTATAGTCTGAACTGCGAAAAGATTGACAGAAACAAGAGCCCTTTGCAGTTTCTACAAAATTGCATTGGTAATGGTCTTAGCCTGCAATATTGATTCGTTAGAGAGAATGCATTAAGCTTGTAATAAATCTTCGCATTAATACATGTATCTTTATATATATATATATATATAATAATATATAGAGAAATCAATAAACATCTGCATATATCTAAAAAAAATAATGAATAAAAAGAATTTTCAATTTCATTCAAAGTTGTATGTTTGCAATTTCAACATGAATAGTTATTTTAATTTACAATATATAGTGTATTTTTTTTTTTAAATTAAAATAATATTTTTTCATATTGTTCAACTTGTTTTTGGTATTTTTTCATTTATTATACAAGAACGTATATACAATATAATCTGAACATTCGAAACTCTCTGCTAGTAAACAATTATGCCATTAATATCTAACATACTCTGCATTTTTTAAATCAATTTATAGTTCTTTCTGAGTATATATTAAGGATATAAGTATTTAGCTGCTATAAACTGTTGCATTTAGTTATTTAAGAAGTTCATAAATATATCGAAGAGACGCTCGTTGAAGCGCCGGAGCCAATCTCATGCTGCCTCAATTGCCTGCGGCAATGCATTGCTGACAAATATGTTCTCCTCAGCTGAAGCTGTGCCATTGCTCTCCAGTTCGGGACAGTTCTTTTGGACAGTATTGATCAGCACAGATTGGGTTATCTTATTGTCATCCAGCACCTTATAGGCCGTTTCGATTGTCTCCTTTGTGGGCTCACGGTCGCGTGTCAATATCCAGACGATTTCTGCAATGGCAAATTCATACGATTGTAATTAACGTGCTGGCCAATGTGTCCCTGGCTGACCATAATGCAATTAATTATGGAGTTGCATTAATTATGCCAAATGCAATAACTGATTTCTCGTTTGCATGCCAAATTGGCCAAGGCCAAGACGGGACGTGCCCAGCCAATTGGCCTAAGCTTCCGCATACTTACTCAAATGGGCGAGGGGGGTGAGGCTGGTACAGCTATAGACAACTGCATACGATTCGTAATCGGTGCCCAGTACCAGATAGTTGGCCCTATTAGCTTGTTCTGAAAGTTACAGATACAAATATAGATAAAGATTCAGATGCAGATGCATATACACGGCTGCATTTACTTACGATTCTTGGAGAAGGTCACGGCCAATTGCCCGGGTGCAATGATCTTAGCCGTGCCCGTCACATTCGATGGACTTCCGGTGCTGTAGGTGCGGGGTATAAAGAAATTTCTAGATGTATTCTAAAAACTATAAGCTGAACTACTCACAGTTTATTGATGGCCGCATTCAGTACAGATACTGTGCTGTTATCGGTGATTTCATAGCGCGCGTAAATACATTTCTTGCCTATTTCAAAGGCAAATGGATACTTCGCATACTCATACCAGACGCCCATATACTGAAAAACAAAAATACAAAAAAAAAACATATTAACAAGTTGAGTTAATGAGCTGTTAAAGATTTACAATGGCAGCGCAGCTGTTTAGTCATGAGACATTCCAGAAAATACTTGAAATTTGGCGAAACGTGTTCAACAACAATTCTGATTAATAGATAATAATAACAGATTATAAAGCCATATGTCAAGCTGTTATCTAATCTATGCTAAAATATTGATAACAGCTATGGTCAACATGTTTTGATTTCTGTTATCAAATATCTTATAGTTTTTGGCAATTAATTAAAGTTCAGAGACTTCTTATAAATAGTTGTCATAATTAAGTGGACAGTCTGCCGCAGATTTTTAGGAACTAATTAGATCAACATTAATAAAAAAAATATTATAAAACTCTATTTGATTTACTTGAGTTATTGAACATTAAATTATAAAATAAAAAATTTTTTGATTTTTTGAGAGTAAATTTGGCATAGGAAAGTTAAATTAGTTATTTATTATTTTCATATATTTAATATATTGTTTTTATTATATATCAAGTCCCAAAAACAATCAACCCGAGTAGCAGATCTCGATCTTAATCTTTTTGTTTTTTATATTTAATCAATTAGTTGAAAAATATCAAATAAATCATAATATTATATCTTGCCTTCTGCTGCTTTCTTGAAGTGGTAATTTGATCAAGTTCAAATAAAAAAAATTTAATTAAAAGATATTTCAAAAGTAGCCAAGTAACAAACATGTTCATCATGACTTTCAATTAAAAATGGGCAAAACAACGAAATTGTCAAGAATGTAACTCAAGATAAGCATTCGCAGAAAACTAATTTGCCAACTTGATGATTTGCTTTGGCACAATTAATTAAAGCGTTACATTTGATTAATTTTGGGACAGGTTGAAGTGCTCAAGTGGTTGACAATTGTGTGGTACTTACCGCCTCCAAGTCAAAAGTGTCCACAATCTTAACCTCTGGACACCGGCCGGGAAAGGGCACTTGGGCCCAGACTCCATTTAAGGCCACAAATGTGAGCAGCCAGAATGAGGCACTGCAACAACAAAAACAACAAGGAGAAAATGTCAAGAGTCAAGCGAATTAAATTAGTTTTCACATTCCAAAATGTGGTGGAGGGGGGAGGTATGTATGTATGTACTTATATGCTTTATATAATTACCTGATAGATTGACGCATTATTATCGAATCGCTAGGATTTGCTTTCGATTAAGTGTTATGCACGTTGTAATATGTGATTGGAAGAGTATTTCAGCTCGTTGTATTCTCACTCAGCTCGTTCGTTCAGTACTGACATTCATGCGGCTGCAGTGCATCATTTATAGATTCATCTGTTTGAGCTTTTTGTCGGTTTGTTGTTGCCTTTTTTGTTTTTAGTGTTCTGCTTCTTTTTGCTTGACGGCACCAAAGCTTTTTTCCACTGCGCCGGCGCTACTTTGTTGTTCAAGTGTAAACAAATGAAAAGTGAAATGTTGACGATCCGAACTGAAGGGCTGAAAGCTGCGAGGGGGTTGGCTGGGCGTTATAAGTGGATCTCTCAATGTTCTGGTTACACTCGCTGCACGCGACGCTTTTACTCCGCTTATCTAGCTCATGATTCACCGAATCAATAAAAATAATTAAAACAAAAAACCAAAAACAATCACAATATCAAGAGCAACTCAATTAGATTGCATAACTAAGTATATACAAAATATATGGGTGCGAATAAAAAAAATTAAATCTTTCGAATATGCAGCTCAGGGATCAGATGACAGTCAGTCTACAAGCTGAAGGCATATTAATTTCATTTTTATTTATATATGAAAGACCACACAAAAGATCTGCTAGATTAAAAATATATATTAATTATATAGTTAACATATATATATATTATAATTAATATATGATTAATATATATATTTTAATTTTAAACATAATTCCAGCGAGTTGCTCAGGTTAATGAACCTGAAAATGTACCGTAAAGTTCATTGTAACTTTACAAGTCAAAAGTAAACGAACTGTAATTTTTTTTTTTGCAGTATTTGATGGTCTCAGTACCATTTTAGTTTAAAAAATTAATGTTGGAAGAATTTATTAACAAGTAAAAATTAAGCATACATTTTTAACAATAATGAATCACTATATCTGCGCTTATCAGCGCTTAAATATAATATAAGCTACTGATTTATAGCTGCCAGTTGCAAAATATATGCTTTTATCAAAAATATTGTCTACTGAAAACTCAATTTTTCTATGATTTTAACCTCATAATCAAAATTTCTGATTTATGGTAAAATTAGTCACCGTTTATTATTTTTTTCGTAAAGGCAAATAACTCTTGAAATGCTTATCTAACACACCCAATACTACATTATCTATGAAACAACAAATCTTAGGGTTCTCTTATGATTAAGCAGCGCATATCAATTGGCTTCCACATAGAACCAAAGCTTTTGCTAACATGTGGAATGTGTTTGCAGCGCCATCTATTGGCAACGAACAATCGTTTTGGCACTGGCGCCATCTGTGCGGCGCTTTGTGCTGCAACTGCAACTGCGTGTGAACGTATGAAATCCTTATAGAACGGCTTAGCGGTCGTCTTGGCCATTATTTATTGAAATCTCTGGAGCACACACACACACACACAAACACACACACACCTGCACTAGCTCACACATTCACCCAGCCACAGAGAGAAAATTGTTGTGCTGCGGTTATTTAAAAAAAATGTATGTATACATAATACATTTTCGTATTATTAAATTAATTAAATGTAAGCCACAAATTGAGTTAAATGTACAAAAATGCGCCCACGGCAAAGGGCGAAACACTCGGGAAGGCATTCACATATGGCCCAGGCAAACTGGCTTACATACATATATTTATTTAAGTGGAAGGCTTGAAAGGTTTGTTGAAAAAAATATATATATACATTAAAAATAACATATACCAATTATGGAAAATTGAATATATTGTCGAATTTTAATGGAATTCAAATTTTTACTTCCAAAACTATACATATTTATTTATATTATATTGTCATAACACCATGTATTTAAAAATCTTTTATTACACATTCCCAATATATTTTCTTAACCAATTATGCATGGTTCTAAAATCTAAAAAGATTTATCTCGAGATTTTTATTTAAATGAAGTCAAAGAAAAATATTTAATATTTATATAAATCAAAATGAATGCGACTTAATTTTTACCGATTTTTAACATTTTGAGATTTTCTTAAAATAAATTGTATAGCTCTATAATTTAATAAAATATATTCGAGCAGCCCTCGCATGTGTGTGTGGACAGCACAGATCTGAATGGCCTGCAAACTATTTTGGAATGGAAATTTATGGTGCTCCAGAGCTGAGCCATTGCGACAAATGAAAGGATCTCTGAAATGAGTAAGGGTGCGGGCACTGCGGGGTAGTCGGAGGGCGTACAGGTAAATGGGTAGGTTGATCTGCTTGGATGGATGGATGGATGGATGGACGGTTGGTTGGTTGCTTGGATTTGGCGCTGTTGTTGCAGCGTGTAGTAATTAAATTTAAAATATGTACACACAACGGATGTTTGAGTTTTGAAACAGGGGATGGGGGGATGGCAGGGGATAATTTTATCAAAGGCAGCCGACACGACTGCAAAACCGATGCAATAAGCCAACCAACCGGGCAGCTATGGAGCTGCAGCTTTGGCATATGCAAGCACGCGCACGCACACACACACATACACACACAAATACATCTGCAATAAATGCATGCCAACACACATACACACTCTCGGACATTCGCACACAATTCAATCATTTTGCCTCCATTTTAAGTGTATTTTGCGGTTATGCGCTTTATGGGCATTTTGTCCCATGTAATTTTATTTATATGGCTATCTCTAGCCCACTCGCCGCCTCCGCTCACCCCCCCCCCCCCTCTCGTTCTCTCTGCCTCTTTTGTTGATTAAAAAAGAAATCAGTGTCCTGGCCGCAGGATGCGTGCGTGCGGCCATTTAATTGACCGGCTGCAGCCTTTTAAAATTTCGCTAACAAATTGAATTAAAGTTTATTATTGTTATGCCCGCAGCAGCAGCAGCAGCAGCAGCAGCTCTTCTTCTACTTGCAGCTACCGTCCATTCAACAGTTGAGACGGCCAAAGGATTCAAGGATTATGCCAAATGAGCAACTACTAAACAGCATTGCGGCAGGAGCTTGGACACTCACTGCATAATGACCTTTAACCCAGTTCCTTTGGGCTTAGCTGCGCACAGTCGCTGAGCCTGGGAATGACACAACATGACGCAATTTCGGATTTCACACAGACACGCACACACACGCATACACATACACAGCGATGCGCTTTTGGATGTCCTGTCACAGGGTCTTTGAACGGTTTCACATGGACGGTTGGAATATTTGAGCTTTAAATAGAACTGCTTGCATTGAATTGAATTTGATGCAAAGTATCATATTTTATACAATATCAGAGGTAATAAAAGATTAAATAATAATTATTTGTATTACAAATTATTTGTTACAATAATAGTCTACTATATACCATATTTCCTCCATGGTCGTTAGAAAATAATTTAAAAATATTTCCTTAAATGTTTAAATCGACAAACGATTACCTCAAAATTCAAAAATCTATAAACCTTAAGCTGATTGTAGATAGTATTTATATCAAATTATAGGCTCTTAGTTTTAAGCACTTTTATTAAGTTAACATTCAAAATAATATATTCCTGCAGTGAAAGCTCCCATAACCGGACTACCCGGCGCGGTCGCCCCTTGTATATTCATTGAAGCTATCACTGTATTTAACTTATATTCTAAACGAATAAAAATTCTTTTTTTAAAACAAAGCAAAAACCCAATCTTATTGATGCTGGCAATGCTTAATACATTATTTATTTAGCACCTTGTTGTTGCCCCTTGGTTGGGCATCAGTTGTTCTGCGGAACTTGCTGCCGTGTGGCGCGTGGGTTGTGGGGTGCAAGAACAAGAAGCAGACAACAAAGGCTAAAGTGGAAGAACCTGAAAGTATTTTGATTTGTGCAATGCTCGAAAGTATTGTCGTTTGGCAGCCACTGGCGGCAATTTCTTAAATTTTTTATAGCGCATAACCTGTCTGGCACACATGCGCGCCATTCCCTGCCCCACCCACAAGCAACTACCCGCAGCGCCTTTCTGGCAGCTCCTTGTTTGTTGTTTGTTGTAAGGCTCAAAGTTAGCGGAGGACTAGGACGCGAACAAGGACGGGAACGAGCACGAGGATGAGGCTGAGGATGTCGTCGCTATCGTTGGCTACGCTTATTGCATTATGCCACCGAGCGCCAAGTCAGTCAGCGTGCGTGCACAGCCAGATAGAAAGAAGTTGGAGGCGTGTGGTGGTAGGGGGAAGGCGGCAGGAAGCGGCTCAGGATATATCCTCGCCAAGTGCAGCTGATGCCACTTTTGGCCCGTGGCAGTCGCGAGCTGTTTGCTGTTGTTGGTTATGGCGTGCTAAGAAGAAAAACTCAGCGGCAAAAATAACAAGAAACGGAAATTAGAAACGACACAACGACATATGAATACCCTTAACTTATCGCATTGTTAATTTAGTTGGCAAATTAGGCTTCAATAAAAAAAACAAGCTGTGCTTTTTAAGCCGACTTGCTGGTTGTGTTTCTTTAAAAAAACTTGAGCTTTATAAGCAAAAGCTGTCAAGCGCTTTCGCTGCTTTCACAGTTAATCGCAGCAACGCATAGAAATTCTACGCTTAGTAAGCTTTTGATTAAAACGCAGCTTTCATGTGCTTTTCAAGCTAACATCGATTGTGTTTCTTTGCAAATTTCAAGTTTTATTAGACTAAAGCCAAATATAAGCTTTATTAGACAAAAGCTTTCATGTGCTTTCATGGGTTATTAGCTAATATCATTACCTCCTGATAAAACATCCACATTTAGAGTTGATTGTTAATATCGAAGACTGAACTCAAGGGATTCTGGTTTATATATACCTATATTTATTTTATTTTACAAGCAGAACCAGTAAAAGCAATATTTAATAATCTCTTCTTGAGTTGTTTTTTCTAAATTAAAGTTTTATCTGTCGCTAAGCCGAATGCTCAAGTGTACAAACTCTTCCCAAAGAGCATACAAATATGAGAATTGGCACAGCTTCTATGCATCGCATACCCCGCACTCTGGCCAACATTTCCTGCATCATCTGTACCCACAGCACCCCCGATCCAATCCGCGTTGCTGGCAAGAAATGTTAATACCAAAAACGAACCATTTGCCGCAATGAAAATCGCGTAAATTTCATACTGATTGTAAGTGTCGCCGTTTGCTTGACGTTGTCGCAGCTCAAGCTGGAGATGAAGACGTCCCCGCGTATGGCTGCTGGGGTCGGGAGGGCGGTTGCGTCAGGGGGTTTGTATTTGCCGTCTGTTTGTCTAGCTGCCGGCCGCCTGGCTCTGTCGCCTCCTGTGCTCGCCTGTCGCCTGCAGATTGTCACCATTGTCACAATTGCAATTTTTAGTTTGCGCTGTCGTTTGGCGCTGATTTGCTTGCCATTTTGCGGCATTTACCATAAGCGTCTGGCGGCCATAACCGAACCCAGTTAAGCCAAGTATCTTGGCCAAAAATGCCCTTCGATTGCGTTAATGCCAAAGCCCGTCCAGCTAGCCAGCTGCAAATATCTCAAATGAGAAAACTTTTACCCACTGCCAAGCAGCAACATTTTTTTTCAGTATGTCGTTTAGATGACTTTGGATTTTGTTTATGTATGCGTGAGTGTGTGTGTTTGTGTGTGTGTGTGTGTGTGTGTACCAATTCACATACATTGTACGCGTGTGGAAACTGATACTTAAATTAGTCTAGAAATGGTTGCTATATGTCCAGTAAAGACACACTACTGAGAATTTTGAATGAACTCTTATTATATTATAATTTTTTGTGCTTAATAGCAGAAAGCATAAACTGACCATGGAGGACATGCACCTTGACAAATACAAATTGAATTTTTAAATAAATATTTATAATAATATAAAGGCAACTAGAAAAATTCACGTGCGACATTCTGAACTGTGATTAAAAAATAATTTCCCAGAAATATGACAAGAAATGAAAATGCAGCGAGCACGTCTCCGATTTGCTGAAGAGGGACAGCGTATGAGACGGCGGGGGGAAAAGGAAAAGTCAAAGAAAACATTTGTCAGACATCGAGAAGACTGATGGCGTTTTTGATGGCCGAAAATCAAGTTTGTTTTTACGTGCCTCGTGACAGGATAGGAACGTGGAGCTGTGCCACCGACTGTGTGTGTGGGAATTTGGCTGTGGATATCAAAGGTCGCAGCTGCTGCAAATGGCTGGTGCTTTGGCAAAATGAGAGCGCTGCCCGCCCACCGAGTGCGACGAGTGGCGCTGGCTATGAGAAATCGCTCGTCATTATTGACGCTTGCGAAAATTCGCTAGAATCGCACACATGCCCTCCCTCACCAGAGTCTACGGGCCATAAATTATGCCACTTTCTGCGTTTTGCCTGCCGCACGAATATAGACATCTGTAGCTGTGAAAAATCGTGCCCCAAAAACTTTGACCCGCCCCCCGGCCCAAAACTGCTGCCAACTTATTGAAAATCACTTAGACACACATGTGACGCCAGGCCCAGCGCGTTACGTGAGCGTAAAACTGGAACTCCTTCTACGGCCGTCGCTCCGGCACTTTGTGTGTATAATTTATGTTTGAGCATTAGAATTTATTTGCAGCCCCCCCGCCCAGAAAGCGGCTAATCTTATGTGGAGTAACTGCCTGACATAGGAATGACAGGCATGGCCAAAGGGCGACCAGTCGAAGCGATTTAAATTGTTTAAGGCAATTACTGGTGATATATTTATAGGGAAATTGCTGGAAATCAAAACAGTATAAAAACAATTTCTACTAAGTAGCAATTCTCAAGGGCATAGAATTAATTAAGTTAAATTAAAACAGGCAATTTGATGTATCCAAATTAAGCATGCATGTCTGGAATGCCCAACTATTTCTTTGAATTTTGGTTGGAACGGGGAGAGGTTCCAATATACCATACGAGAACCTACATACAAATCTATGCTATAAGAAATCCTAAACATGGTATGTTTTGATGAATCTAGCTTCTATAATCTTCGAGCTATTCCTAAATAACTATTTCAAAGACTCCTTCTTCGTATATTATAGAAAAATATATTTTACAAAAATTTCAAGTCTCAAGCTTTTGTAGTTGAACGGATGGATCCAGCTAGACTCAACTGTGGTGTCGAAGTTGCTTTGCTCGGCCTGCTAAATACCTTTTCAGAAACTCACTTTGACAATTTACGCGATTTTTAATATACTCAGGAAAAACTTTACAAAGAAATCAAACATAAATAAAATGAATGCGATTATATATTAGAAGGGGAAAACCCCTGAGATAGACTTGGTTATGCTCGCTTTCGTTGCTTTAAGCTTGTAATTCTCAACAAGATTAAACTTCGAAAAAGGGAGCAAATCGTTTGAAATCTTTTAAATGCTCTATAGTGGGAAAGTTATTATACTAGCTATGCAGAAAACTTGCTATTTTGGTGTCAAAAGCTGATGGTTGTTGGTTATAATTTATTTGAAATAACCCAAAATAATGTCGCTATTTAAATATAACAACTGTGATAGATATCTAACCGTAGTTATGTAATTGCTATCTGCAGAGTAACAGCGAATATGGCATTCTAATCCACGAACATAACTCAATCGTTGCTTTAAAATCCGTTTAGACTGCGCCCTGTGGGTGGGCTGGCAGCTGTCGCGCTTGGCTGCACTTGATAAACGAGCCGCCTTCGAAGGGACATGCAGGACGAGCAAACGGGTTTAGACCCAACGCCAGAGCAAACCCCAAACTAAGCCTAAGCACTGTCAAACTCGGACATTCTAAGGCTGCTAATAGACACAGCCAAGTGCTGGCCAGCGATGACATATTCGTAATTTATGACCAGAGCCCGCCATGAACTCGCTGAATGCTATCTTCGCACTGGTACAAGGAGAATGTACGACGACGATGTCGGCCGCAGCGACTATCTCGGGGTGGCATCGGGAAGTATCTGGGTGTCCTGGAGTCCTGGTAACAGCCACGCACTGCTTTTGTGGCTGTCAGTGGTCGTTGTCTGTAATTGTTTTCCTAATGGAAAGCACCCCAAACATTGACCGCACTTAAGTTGTCATACGAGTATGTGCTGTACAAATTTATGAGCTATCCAGCCGAAACTTGGACCTGGTATTTCTTACTGGGAACTTGTGCTGTTAGTTCTCAGGCAAACAGCTCATTTACACAAGAATGTAATTGGAGCAGAAGCTCGTTTAAAATATCTTAACTTACCAATCCAGAAATATTTACTTGAAGGTGTTCCAGCAATCAGAATTGGAAGTGAAGGCCCAAATTACATTGAAAGCTAGCCGAGCTTGTTGAAGACGATGTTAATATGTAGTTGAGATGTTAATCTGTCAACTCTATATGACTGCGTCTGTATTCATTTTCAGACATTTTATTTTCTCAGACAACTGACTGCAGCTGCGAACGGAACTAAATTTATTACGTAGATATCGATATCGATGAGGCCACAAATATCATTCGTTATTCTTTCGATATATCCTCCTTTCGATAACAATTGTTGTTCCCACTTGTTGCTATAGAATCCAACTGTGAGGCACTGCATCACGAGCCCCACTTATGAGTATTCGGGACAGCCAGTTAAGAGTTGCAAGAACAATATCTGGCCTTTCTTGCTAGATGAGGAACTTGGTTACTGAAAGAAATCTACGTGTTGGTAAAATGGGGGACCAAATTAATCGGATATCATTTGATGCGACACGATGTAAGAGTTGTCGATTTAAGACATCTAAATGCGCTACCAGGAGGGACTGAGTAGGATTCACCACGCTGGCCATTCCATTAGATGGATATAAATTCCCTGAATATAAAATACACTCAATTATAACTAAGTATAAACATTTACACTTGACTATAATCCAAAAATTGGAAGTCTGATTTAATGTCCTCATTCCTGTTATAGTCAAAAGGTTGCGACTAATCTAAAATATAAACAAAAATTCTCTATAAAAAAAAATTTGTTATATTCTGTTAAACTTTCAGAAAATCTCCCTTTTACTTCCATTCCAAGCCGAACTTTAAGCGGAGAGTTGTATGCATACTTTTCTATTCATTTCTAAATGACTTTTTAACCTCTTGATATGTTATTTTTGTTGGAGTCCCCGCACTACTGCTGCAAATCCCTGTGACCATTTCCATTAAAGACTAAGCCATTTTGGCCAAAAATGAATTTATGCAAAAAGGTTGGCCAAAATGCAAACATGAATCCACAATAGCGAAAGCAAATCCTTTTGCCAGGAGCAGTCAGCAGCGCAAGGAGGCAACTCAATTAGTTGCACGCATCCATTAGATATTCCAGGCACAGTTACAGAACGATTGCAAAGCCATAAAATAGCCAAAGGCCGCATTGAAAAGACCAAAAGAAGATTATTTCTGTGCGGACCGAAGGACTGAGGGGGACACCGAAAATAAAAAACAAAAACAAACAAAATGAAACCAAAGATGTCACGCAGCGGACTGCCCCAGGGATTTGTCCATGGCACAGCAAAATATGTATTATATATATGACATTTTGTTATGAATACTAATCTATGGGGGAACTTTAAAAGGGGCCCAGCCACACTTTACATAATGGACAATAGTGTGAAACGCCCCGAATTCACCAAGTATTCCAATGTTTTCGTTTCACAGTCGGAGAAATGCGCCCAAACTTGTTGATTTAAAGGAGAAACTCGTTAGGCTACGAAATTACATAAATTACGCGACAAACTTTGGTGAATTTCTATAATATTTATTTTTAAGGCTGAAGAGTTTTGGTCGAAATTCTATGAAATTTTCGAGTTTCTTTACAATATGTAAAGAGTTAAATGTTTACAACATCTATAGGCTTTCCAACAATAATAAGCTATAGCAAATATCTTCAAAATAAGCCAAATAAAATGGTTCGCAATATCAAAAAAAAAAATTCAAAATTTTGATATTTTTTAATAAAAAATAATATTAAATACATATTTTTATTAGAGGCTTCAATCCTATCATAAAATATGCAGTTATCAAGATTAAATTTTTATGTAAGTCCGAGAAAAGAAACCCATTCAAAACCAACACATTTTAAAATGTTGCTCCCAATCGAAAGGCTCTGGCGAATATGTAGAAAAATAGATTATGAGAATACTCCAAATATGCCAAAACATTTGCAGCATACAGGCCAAAAATAATGTGAATATTAAATAATTGTGGAGCTAAAGCGAAACTGAGAATAACTAAAAATGATTGAGAGGCACGTTGACAGTTCATTTAGTCAGCTGTGCCTAATGCATTGCCAACAGATTGAACCAATTCGAAACACGGGGATATTCAATAATGAAAAATCCATTTTTACTGAGTGTATTAGTAGTAGAGAGTGTAGAAGCATTATTTTTTGGGGGCGGCATCCACTTTGCGGCACATGTTAGTTAGCTGATCCGGCAGCTGTTGGCCGGATAGGCTCTTCACGCCCAACGGCTGCAGTTTCTTAAGCAGATTCTGGACGCACTGATGCTGATAGCTGACGCCGCTGATTACTTGGCCAGAATAGATTTTGTCGTCCACGTAGAGTATGTCAATACCCTCGTTCATGATGCGCACGTGATAGTGATGATTGCTCGGAAAGAAATTGAGTTCGGTGCCCAATTCCTTGGTGATCAGTGTGTTCACCTCGTATATTTTGACCAAAAACACGACAATCTCGGTGCCCGTGTGCAGGGTCTGGCCCGCCGGCAACACGGTTATCTCCACCACACAGCGCTCGCAACAGATTAGCTCCGGCTCATAGGGTTCCAGGGCGTGAAAGGTCAACAGCGTGGAATCGGGCTGAGCGTGGAAGAGTAGGCATGTCAATAAATATGAAAACGGTTTTAGAATAAATCCAGGACTCACCTTGAAGCGCTTGCGATAGCTATCCAGCAACTCCTCTGTGCTATAGACGGTGCCATGCCAACGCGGCGGTATATAGACCTCATAATCGGCCGATGTCAGCAGCATAACGCCGTGCTGGAAATTATGCCGCACAAATCTGTCAGCTGGCTGCGCAGAAATCAACTAGAGCTTACCAGATCATACGTATATTCGTGCAGATTATCCGGTGTCACATCCTTGGGTGCTCCAAAGGCATCGAGAAACATGACGATATTTGAACTCGAGTGATAGTTGTTGTCTGATTTATAACTTGAGTTCACAGAAATTTTGTATGTTTTAAATACGATAGAAGCGATGGAACAATGTGAGCGAAGATGACAGCTTTTGCTAGGCTTAGCCGATTCTTAACATCGATTAAATATAAATATATCGAAAGTGCTTTGCTATATTCAAGGCAGGCGAAAGCGCGAAAATTGCCAAGGCTAGATTTTATTTAAATACTCGAACAACAAAGAAGACACAAATGTTGTCATATTATTAAAAAAACTAATAAGAAACGATGAACTTTATTATGTCTTTTTCATAGGTTAGCTATGCTTTTTACTAAACTATCCTACATGTAGGTAAATAAATTCAATCAAATTCAAATTTTCCATAAATTATCCAGCTACAAAAGAGTTTACTGCAACTGATTTGTTCAAAAATAAAAGACAGATAGGCAGTAGCCTATAAGTCTATAAGGGCTACGCGGAAGTTAGCAGTCAGGTTTGGTCTCTTTTCAATCTACATTAAAGGTTTAATAGTCTACTAGACACTTTCAGTTAAACACGGTAATATTTGTTATTTCTGCCTACCTGTCTGCCACCTGTTGGCCACCCGTGCAATAATTGATGTAAATCTGTCGACGTTGTGAAGTGTCACAGCCGTTGCCTTTCCAATTGCAGTTGCTGTCTTTTTTGTTGTTGCTGATGTTGCTGTTGTTGAGTGCCTTGTTGATCCTTTTTTGCGACTTGTTCACAATTCTGAAGGTACTTGAAACTGTGTAAATGGCAGGGAAAAAAAAGAGAACTTTATGGAAACTGTGCAGCTGTGTGGCGAAGAGGCAAACAGTTACCAGGCAGCCAAGAGGCAGAGCAGGCCTATTGGCAGTGCCATTGCTAACCCATATCGGGCACTTGAACTTATGTATAAGCACTTGGCAAATGATAAATAGCAGGCGAGTTAAAGAGGACGACGAACAGGACACAGCCTCTCACCTTGCCTCGAGGATAACGAGAGCACGAGTCGCTCAATGCACAGACACTTGCTTGCAGCGAACGCCACGAGCTAAGCCCAAATGTAATGAAAATGAGATGAAAATTATTGCACCGTAAATCAGCCGTCGTCCTGGCGTTCTGGCGCCCAGCTGCGTCCGGGAGCAGCCTGCAGCAGCAGCATCTGCGCCCCTTTTGGCTAAACGGTTTCAACTGCTTAATTTGGCTTTCATTGCGTCTTTTCTTGTTTTATTTTTTTTTTTCAGTTCTTTTTTTTTGGCCTGACATGAATTATTTAACGATCTCCAGCTGCGTTGATGCGATTTCCCAAGGATGGCTCCAAATTAAAGCCATAACAAGCTTAATGCACGCCAAACCGCAAAACGGACGCGCCCAGACTAAAGCCAAAAACTTCATTTAATGGTACAATGGTGGCCAAACAATAAGCTGCTGCTCGCCAACATCCACCTCCAGGCATAGAAACGCAGTTGGTTTGCCCACGGGCACAGCTACAGATACACGGATACATTGAGTCCGTGGCATGCTCCATGTGGGGACTTAACTCGCTTTGTATGGCCCCCAAATCGTCGCTGTCGACTTTCCAATTTCAAGTGAAAAATCCCGCGAATGAACATGTAAACAACAATGCTGCGATAGGTGGGCAAAGGCCAAAAACAACACAGAAACAAAGGCGCAAGGAAAGCGACTAAGATTGATTGCGCTCTCAAATGTTCGACTACGAAATGCACTACAAATAGTTACCTTATCAAAGGATAATAGTTAGAAAATTAAAAAATGGAAATTATGCTATTGGGCAAAATTAGCTCCAGCTGCAGCTGTTTTGCAATATATATATATAAACTTGTGTATATGTACTCTTATTTCAAAATTAACAAAAGATAATCTAACAACTTTTTCCCCTTTTTAATAGTTGAATGCCAAAATGCATTATTTATTATTTACTTCATTCCGTTTGCGATTTATATCTTTAAAAGATCTAATCTGTAAGTACTCTTTATTTTCTTTTTTATTATAAAATCTTTCACCCTCGTATTTTAATCATTTATTATTATAATTTTTTTTACGTTATACTTGTGTAAATTTGTACAATTTTTATTTTCAAATATCTTAAACATTTTTTGTATTTAATTAAATATTTATAGTTTTAAATCTGATGAATAAATAAATGAAGTGTAAAATGCTTCAACTGATCAAATTAATAGCTGATATACCGCTTTTTACACTCTAGCTAGCATCAGTTCAGCAAATCCGGCCAAAACTACTGACAGACTCTGCTGGGCGCATTCAATGCCAGCGCTTGTTTCCTGTATCTGCAGCTGCAAATGTGTATCTGTGTGTGTGCTTGTGTGAGTGTGTGTGTGTGTGCAATCGTATCCGTAGCTTTAGCAGTAGCTGTAACTGTATTTGCAGCCTTGGCGTGAGGAGTGTGGTGCGTGTATGAAAAATTTGCAATGAACGTTGCGTTTGGGCTGGCGGAAAGGAAATCCTAAAAGCAAATAAAAAGTGCTGCACAGTTGCTGAAACCCACTTGAAATATTTTTGGCAATGAAAATAACCCAAAAAGAAGATAAACGCAGACATAATAAATGGAATGAAGCGCAAAGCGCTAAACTGCGCGTCGAGAATGCTGCAACATTTGCAACGTTGCGTTGCATGCAACAGCAACAATAGCAGCAACAACAACACCGAGCAACAAATATGCAAGCAAAGCGCTGCTGCTGTTAATCCCTGGAAATTTGTCTAAAAACCCGAAAATCCGCGTCGTTCCGTGTCCTTCGTAAGGCTGATGAATGACGTCGTCCACGCTGCTGCTGTGCAAATTATAAAAGCAATTTGCATTATGTGGGTCGCCGTTGTCCTGGATTAAATATAAAGGCACGCGGCATATTACCCCCTCCACTAGCCGTGGCCCACCCTCCAAATTATTCACGCTCAGGCATTGTTTGCGAGTCGTTAGTTGTTGGCTTTAGCTTAAAATTAGCTTTTCGTTGCTTGATTATGATTTGTGTTCTGAGATTTTGCTGATGGGACATTGAAAAGCGCCAGTGCGTATTTCTATATGGTCGATAAGTTTTGAATACTTTCAAAAATTACACAAAATTTGAAAGGGCAATATTCCATATAAATTATGATATAAGACAGCTTGCTTAAGATTTCGCTTAATCACGTTGCTGAACTTAAAGCTTAAGCGAGTCATGTGCTTTAAAAGCTTTTGATAGTTGCATGATCCAGTGTTGGAAAAAACTGTGCTTAAGGCTGTCATGCGCTTTTATTATTAGCTTAAATTAAAAATTAGCTTAAAAGGTTTGGACAATGTTAAATGATTTTACTAGATCAAACATTTAGTTAACAATCAAAAGCATTGAAAGCACAGGACTGGCTTAAACACATTTGTTTATATTGAGTAAGGCCAAAAGCTTTAAGTTCAGAAAACTCATCATGATCATCATATCATAATCTATAATTGAATAGTTAAAGCTAAATTCCTTTTCGAGTGATATTTAAAACAGCTATAATGAAAGCTTATAACTATATACACTATTGTCAATAACAATCATTACTAGGATGACTCAACAGATTTTTTTTTAATATAATGAGAGTTTCAATCAGCCCATTCACACAATCACATTTAAATATAGTTATCTTACATTGATTAAAAACCTGACTAATTAATGAGTATTTAAAAAGATTAATGACGAAAATTGACTCATATTAATTAGCACATTCATTATCGCCATCTAACAGCATACGAAAAAATATATAAAAATTTGTTTTAGTTTCCATTTCAATCAACTAATTGAAATCGAAATGATCAGATGAATGAAATCAGCTCACCACCTCCCGCAGAGTCAGCGACTCTTTTTGATTAAACTCTGACTCAATCGCAATCTGGACGCGAGCCACGGCGCCTGTTAACAGAATCCACCCCATAAACCAGGCCACTCACACACACACACATATGATTGCAAATGCACATATATAAAATGATGCCTGGTGCCTGGTTTAAAGCATAATAAATTTTTGAATGCGCCATTAGCATGATTTATGCCTATTTAATTTTTCATAACAATGAAAGCGACAACAGCAACAACAAGGATAATGGCAAGGACAATGCGAACAACTATAATGTGACAACAGGCGCGGCATTAGCGCCGCCCTCAGCGGCACAAAGGAGCCGCGCTGGACACAGGACACGGTACACTGTCCTCCACAATGAAGAAGAAGAGTAGTGCATAAAAAATTGCGATCGACGGTGGGGGCAACATAATTGAATAGTAAAAGCGCGCACTGAAATTAACCACCACAAATGACGCAAATAATGTTAAACTGCCAGCCATGGGGCAGCTGAGTGGGTCGTCGAGGGGGCCGGGAGTGGAGGGGGGTGACCGCATGTACGGACGATTAAATTTCATTGAAATTGAATTACATTAAAAAGTGCAAAAGGCGACGCAGCACAAAAGCGCTACGTACCCCAGCTAGACATGAAATGCGACAACATCCGCAGCAACAACAACAAAAAGAACAACAACAACAACAACAACATCAGCAGCAGCAACAAGGAGCTGGAGCCGCACTACAACCCCTCGGGCAGGACAATAGTGCGCAAATTAACTTACAAAAGCGAAATAAAAATCGCTTATGCGAACATTTTTACCAGCAACTACAATGTGATATATGTGCTCTCTCTCGCTCTCCCTCTCTCCCGCTCTCTATCTATCTCTTTCTGACTACTCTTGTTGTTTTGCTTAAGCGCCATCTGCCGCAATTCGGTTTAATGCTAAACAGCCCAGCCACATTTCCAGTTGCACTCACACACGCACAAACCCACCACAGCACCGCCCACCCCACCAGACTCCACCACAGGCTGCAAACGTTGCATAGTTTACGGCGCTTTGTTTATGGTCGCGTCTTTTATCCTTTGGCCTTATCGCATTTGTCGTCACCGCGAAAAGGAGTTGCTTATTAAGTAATTTGCGGATTTATTAAAAGTTTGCGCCTTTTGTGAAGCTCGCCTCGTCTCCATTGTAAACGTCTGTTGTTCTTTCCAAAATCACACGAATCTTTCCTCCCTCCTCCCCTCACAATC